CTTATGTCAAAATCATTTCTTTTAGTAAAATGTTTTGCTAGTAATTCACCTTGCGATGCGCATATGATTTTGCCATTTTTTTTATTTTCAAAGGTTTATATAAATTAATTGAAGGTAGATTATTTATAATTACTAAGTAATAAGGTGACTATAAATTTACACGAATTGCATTTTTAGACGAATTGTCTCTCTAAATAGGTAAAATAGGGGAGTAAATTAAAATATGTGAAAGTGTATTATGTCATTCTTGAGTTATACTTGAATCTGAATTTGTGGGAAAATAATGTACAAATAGGTGCTTCTACAATTTCTAGTATTCAAGTATGATCTGATCTGGTTTGTTTAAGTTTGATTTGGTCTGAGACTGAAATAAGTCTAAGTATAAACATCTCAAGTAATATGGTGACTATGCATTTATACGAATTGCATTTTTACACGAATTGTCCGGGTAAATTGGCAAATCAGGGGGAGTGTGCAATATGTGAAAGTGTGTTATGGCATTATTACACAATACTCAAATATGAATTTGTGAGAAAATGTTAGTTGAGGCCGTATATGAAAAGTAATGCTATCATTTCAGCACAATAACTTTTGAAACAAATTCAATATATAGAATCTATAGTAGTTCTTAATTCAAAAATATGTACAACTGCAGTGCGATGCTCGGTTGGTGAAATTTAAAGGGCGAAGTTTTACTCAAATGGTGGAATGTTGTGTAAAATGACTTATAAACATGCACAATAATCAAGTTTGATGTAAAATGAAATGTATTCAATATGATTTACGGAGTATCAATAATTGTGGAGTAGCACACAAATGTGTATAGTCTAACAAAACAGTAACACTCAATACAAATACAATTTGAAAACAAATTACGTTCTAATGAACCTTTCATTTCAACTCTTGTTTAAATCTTTCCTTCTAGCCGAATGTTTTGCTAGTCATTCTTGCGCGATGCACTAATAGTTTTACAAATGATTTTTTCATTTTTAAAGGTTATATATATATATATATATATATATATATATATATATATATATATATTGACGGTAAAGTATTTATAATAATTGAATAATAGAGTGACTTTACACTTATGCGTTTTTAGACGAATTGCCTTTGTAAATAGGCAAATCAGGGGATGCAAATATGTGAAAGTGTGTTATGTCATTCTTAAATTATACTTAAATATAAATTTAGGTGAAAATGCTCAAATAGTTTTTTTTATAAATCTCAATAATACATAGTATTTATGAATATAAAAAAGGACTATATTACTCCATTTTAAAGTGGCTAGATTGGTCAATTCTGTTGATTTATGTAAGAATGATGTTTAAATTATATTTTATTAATTAAATAAAGATTTTTTATGAAAAATAATTAAAATGGTCCTCTATAGTAACTTCAACCAATATAGTCAAGAAAATAGTTCTAACCTTGGTTTTTCTTATATTACACAATTCAGCGCGCAAAGTAAAAAATTATGTGTTCAATGAAAATTTGACTATAAGCCCGATTCACCAAACGGGAACTTAAATTTTTATTTATTTATTCCTGTAATTACTACCCATTCGGCTTATAACTAATTATTCCTTGCATATTTTTAAAATTTATTTCAAGCAAAAGGAGCAAAGTAATAAAAATGTTTTCTAGAACATATATCAAACATATACCTATAGTTGTAAAAAAAACATATACGTATAATACTTCTTCCCCAATACGTATAACACTCCCCCAAAGCCCCAAGCCCCCAACCCTAATTGAAACCTGTCACGCCCCAGACCGCAATCCAAACGCGTGTACAACCGCCGTATAACTAAGTGACGTCACCCACGAGTCAACCTCACTTAATTACACAAGGCGTTCGAGAAAACAATCCATCCATACTCAGTAGTAAACATACATAACAACATCACATTTAAACCAATGAATAGCGGAAATATTCAACGGTAAGTCATGGGCCACAACCGGCCAACAACATGGGCATACAAGCCCCAAAAATAGTTTATAGTAAAAACAAATATCCATGAGCAAGTGTTCGGTAGTTTGAAAGAAAATAAGGAAGCACGAACCACGTCTTCCTGATTTGATATCACCCGTGAGAAGGTGCAAGTAGCAAGCCCTAGCTTCAACCTGAAAATGGTGGGGGGGGGGGCCGAAGGGGTCAGTACAAGTACCGAGCGAGTAGCAGGCTAAATATAGAATAACTAGCGTTTCAAGTATAAGACCCAAACATAGGGTGATACTTAAATAAATAGTCTTTTCCCCAAGTTATGAAATACTTATTAGTATATATATACTTGGAAAATATCCGATCCGTAGATCACCATTTTATTTGGGAAAAATAGTAATAGTCAATATTCTTGACTAAAAACCCCAACCCACCCATATACCTATGAGTGTATATAGGACTCCTCCTTGTCCCTATTTGTATATCATAATCTATGAGTTTAGGATCATGATCCTTGGATACTCCACCGGTTTGTGAGTGTTAAGGACTCATAAGTCCTAGGGTCCTCCACCAAGTTTTGAGTGTTAAGTACTTTTAAGTACTAGGGTCCTCCACCAAGTTTTGAGTGTTAAGTACTTTTAAGTACTAGGGTCCTCCACCAAGTTTTGAGTGTTAAGTACTTTTAAGTACTAGGGTCCTCCACCAAGTTTTGAGTGTTAAGTACTTTTAAGTACTAGGGTCCTCCACCAAGTTTTGAGTGTTAAGTACTTTTAAGTACTAGGGTCCTCCACCAAGTTTTGAGTGTTAAGTACTTTTAAGTACTAGGGTCCTCCACCAAGTTTTGAGTGTTAAGTACTTTTAAGTACTAGGGTCTTCCACCAAGTTTTCCTATGATCAACCTCCTATCAACCTAGATAGAGTCTATATCATACTTAGTCATTCATAACTAGTTCATTACATAAAACTTATGTATCACAATTCATGCAAATCCATGCAATTATATAAATGTACAATTAACTAATATCAACCGATATTAATTAATCCATTATCCATCGGTCAACGTTGTCGTTGACCGCCATTCAAGCCTTGTACATATCGACTTAATCATCATGTAATTAAGTTAATAATAATCATTTGTGCTTCTTTTACATTCCCAACAAATATGCATTTCATATTATTTCTCATATCATGTTTCATGTATAAACAATTAATTCCTTTCATACAAACTTATCTATGTTGGCTAACCACATGTTTAAATATCTTTTAAACATCATTATGAACACTTATAACATTTATTTAGGTAATCTTATAATTAACCCAAAAGTTATAAGATATTAAGCCGTCCACTCACCTTGAACTAGCGTTATGAAGTTCTACCCTTCTTGGTTGAACTCCGGTGAAACTCCGGCGACTTTTGGTCAACTCCGGCGACAACTCCGGCGACTTTTCCAACTTTGTGAAATCACTTAAAATACCCTTTACAAGTTCCTAACAAGGTTTTATAATCATAAAACCCATATTAATACAAATAACCTCAAAAGGGTTATTTTCCGGTGAACCGGTCGTTTTGGCTTCTAAGTCCGTTTTTGGACGTAGAACCATTTTCCAACCCATAAATCCATACTTATAACATGTGGAATCATACTAAGGGTCCTTCATATGATATATACCTCATATGATAGAAGAAAAATAAAGGAAAAGTTATAATAAGGTGATTACCTTAATTTTACACACTTTTCCTAGCCTTTTTCCTTCTTTAATCCCACTTCTTGGATCCTTCTTGGTTGAGCTCGATTTGCAGCAATGGAGGAGGGTTGGAGAGCTTTTTCTTCCTCTTTCTTGGGTAGCTTGGTCGAGTACAATGAGGAGGAAGGAGGGGGATGGGTTCCTTTTGTCTCATTTAGCTAATAAGTGAGAGAGGGACCCCTTTGGTGTCTCTCAATGTCTCACCCTCCCATCATGTGTACCATTGGCCTTCCTTTGGTCAATTTGAGCACACAAAAACGTGGGGTGGCCCCCACTCTTGTGGGAGGTCATCCCTTTGTGTCCCGATGTGTACAATCGGTCCCGAAAGTTGTATTTTTCAGACTGTTTTAAATGTATTTTATTTTATCGGGTCAAATAAAATATATTATGTGCTCTTACTCATTATGACATGTATAATGAGTATACATTCCCCAACTTTAATTTATAAGCCTCCGAAATTCAGTTCGGGCTGTTATCTGTTAAATTACCAGTACCGGTAATTTGGGCTTCTCTTGACCAATCGGTCAACTCTGGGCCTTTCCCTGGCCCAAATGAAATATCCACCACTATATGTTTATTATCTAGACCAAGATGAATAAAATATAAGGTCTCGGGAATGTCGGGCGACCCCCGCTCCCGGTGTGGGTCCCACGTGCAATTTAACTATTCACGTGAATGAAATAATAAAAATTTACAACTTCGTAAATTCATTAATTCCTTAATAAGGTTCAATACATTATTTTCGTAAAAGTAACTATATTTGGGGACGGTGTTACAAGTTCACCCCCCCTTAATTGGGATTTCGTCCCCGAAATCCAAGTATCTAATCGAAAAGAGATGGGTATTGCTCCCTCATTGAGACTTCGGTCTCCCATGTCTCTTCTTCGACCCGATCACTTCTCCACAGAACCTTTACCATAGGAATCTCCTTGTTCCTAAGTTTCTTCACTTGTTGACCTACTATCTTCACCGGCTCTACCGCATATTGCAAATCCTCACGGATCTCTACCGGTGGTTTCTCAAGGATATGAGATGGGTCCCGTATGTACTTCTTGAGCATCGATACATGAAACACGTCATGTATCTTCTCAAGCTCTGGTGTCAACTTGAGGCGGTACGCCACAGCCCCAATCCTTTCAAGGATCTCAAATGGACCAATGTATCGGGGATTAAGCTTCCCCCTCGATACAAATCAGATGATGCCCTTCCAAGGAGAAATGTGACACCCCCAAACTTCTCACCCAAAATAACACTTTGAAATAAAAATGAACTTTTATTTATTGATTAAACATGCAAATGTTTGCAGCGGAAAGTAGTAAAACTAAAGGAAAGGGGTATGTCACCGCCACATCCAACCTTTGAATGATTGAATGCTAAGGCTATCTACCCAAACTGTGTTTTTAAACAAAATGAAAATGTTCAAGTCAATAACAAGCATTAAAGTTTATTCCAAATGAACTACATAACGGTCTTCTAATTTGCGCTCTCATATAATCCAGCATCAAAATCAACATGATCGCCTCCTGTTTGTTAAGGGCAAAAGAAAACAAAAGAAAACAAAAATTAGCAAGAATGCTAAGTAAGTTCCACCCAACCCCGAAAAAAAATAATAATAATAATAATTTATTAATATATTTTTGAAAAGCATTTTAGTGAAAAAGGATTTTTAAAACATTTTATATACATCATCAGTAAAACGATATCTATACAAAATTTTACTCCGTATTACATAAGCCATCGACAAGAGAATAATAACTCAAATAATAGTACTTCCAAAACTTCTCACACATAATCACGCATAAAATTCAACACTTTAATTCGGGATTTCCCTCCCAATTTTTTTTTTCTTTCTAAAGCCTAGTTCTTTTTAAGATGGGCGGAACTCGGGGTTACCGAGCCCAGTAAGCCGTTGTTGTTTACGAACTCACCCCGGAAATTCCGGTCTCCATCAACCACAAAAGTCGGAATCGGAGCAACTACCTTAAGTGTGCACACCCCTTAAAGGGATTCCAAGCCCTCCAGGTTAGTAAGTCGCCCCGGGTAGCCGGGATTTTTCTACCAACTACCCCACCCACAAGATATAATAATGAATGATCAGGAACTACTACTACCAAAGTGGAATCTAATGTCCAAATGTCGGGGTAGTTACCGACCCTCCATTAATCAAAATCAACTCAAAGTCTCAAACCAAATCACCCAAACCAAATTGAGTAGTAGTAGCCCCAACCATCCTCCACATTTATCCGGATGTGGAAAACCGACACCACGGATTTCTCCCGGGTGCTCACCCACTTATGAAAATATTAATTTTCTTTGTGTTATCAAAATCCAATAAAGAGTTCAAAATACGCTAGAACCCACATTTTCTCAAACTTCAAATTTATCACAATGACATCAAAATATTCACTAGTAAAAATCTACTAAAATCATATACAACAATAACTCACGCCAAAGTTCCATAATAATGAATCAATATATCAAGTACTAGAATAATTAAAGTTACTACAATTTAATACACCAATATAATTCTCAAACATGCACATAAAAACATTTGAAATAATTACAAGGTAAAAGGTATAATTTTGGGTACAGTGAAACTTACCTTAAAGTGTGACACTCCTACTTGGTCTCTTAACTTGATTTATTTAGCAATCACCTTTAATAAATCGAAACTCTATAATTAGTCCTAAATATTACATCCGATTAATTGGTGCAACCCAAATATCGTTACGTTAATCTATTAGGTCGTTCCCTTTATTACTAGTTAGTATTTTAGTATAATTTATATTAATCCCAGTTTGCTCTTAAATCACTTAATTGAAAATTTATTATTCCCAAATACCTTGATAATCGTGTCACAATTTTAATTATCTTAATGTAGTCATTCCAGTTCAATAGCCTCCAGATTAATCCAAAATTATCACACATCTATAATCGTTCAACTAATCATTAATAGGCATCCTAATGTTATCAAAACATTACAGATTATTCCTTCATCGTACCATTATTATTATTATTGATTATTACAAAATTAATCTCAGTTCAATAATGCCCTTTAGTCATGGTTATGGCTCCCGATTTTAAGATTGATTACCCCTTTTCTTGTAATGTCCTTATTTTATTTAGTTCGGTCTAAATGATTAATCCACCCTTTAATCTTATTATTTCAATTCTGTAAATAATTATCACGACGTAACCAACTCAAGTAACGAACATCCAATAAGAATTAGTTTGCTAATTCACTTTATATACATCCAGCTTAATAGTTACGAGTAGTTTATTCTATTTGAATAATTGGTTTGCTAGTTCACTTTATTTTATTTGCATTATCATGTATTCATCTTAATCTACTTGTCAAAATCCTCCCTCCTAACCAAGCTATTACTCCGTATTATAACAACACTATTAAGATTAACATTATCTTACTTAAGGTTGCCAATGGTCCATTTAAGTATATATTATTTTTAACATAAACCCAATTGTCTGGCTATACCATCACGTAAGTCCTAATATGCACACATGCAATTTGTCTACGTTGGCGTCTACTTCGCTGAACGCCGGGAAATACGCAGGGGAGTTGGCTTACCTCTCCAGAAGACTGATCCGTGGGACGGAAGCGGCTGGTTGGTGACGGAGTCGTTCGTCAACAGTTCTGGCGGTAACTTCCCGTGGCGGCGTCCGCAGCAACTCTGGCGTGGTTCTCCTCGGAGAGTTAAAGAATGAAGGCTTGACCGCCTTTGGTTTTGTAGTAGCGTGTGTATATAATAGATGTTTGTAGTCTCGGTTGTGCCGAGCGGCCGATCTAGGCTGTTATTTATACGCGTTTCCGGTGTTTCTAGACGACTGTTACAAAATCTTTACATTTACTACCTACCATTTCCGTTCTCTGGCCGTGCGTATATATGGGTGTAACGCTAATACGTTTGGAGAATTCTGGAGAGTTTCCTTGTTGGTACCCTCTTTTAGTTAACTATGTACGATTCTATTTGTGTATGGTTTGCATTTGTTAATCATAATGTGAATACAGCTGGCTAAGTGCATCATTCTATAATTACATATTATTACTTATTAATCACATCCTTATGTAATAGTTGGTCCACTTATTATGTTGTACTCCGTATGTTACTTTTATTAACAAATGCACTTTTATAAAATATTACTTTTGACATTTAATCCAACAAAATTATCTATTTTTTTTTTTGGTTATTATTATTATTATTATTATTATTTATTATTATTATTATTATTATTATTATTATTATTATTATTATTTTATTTTATTTATTTATTTATTTTTTTAATTTTCGGAGTGTCACATTCTACCCCCCTTAAAAGATGCTTCGTCCCCGAAGCATAAGCTAAGGGGACAATTCTAATAGGATAAAATCACCAAGTATTACATTCCACCCCCCTGCGACAGTGTGCTGATCCGTTGGATATACTTGTCAGGGCGCGCACGAGTGAGGACAAAGTGCGCGGTAAAGGCTCGTGGTGGTTTGTGGGGACAGTACTATTGGTCCGGAGTAACTACCTCGGGTCCGGTGGGGTCGGGGTGTTAGTGTTACAGGTGGTATCAGAGCAACCCTGCGACAGTGTGCTGATCCGTTGGATATCGGGCAGACACTTAGCAGGGGAAAAGATTCTGGGGTTTGATTGAGATTTGAGATTGGTTCAAGGGTGCAACGAGGACGTTGCGATCCTAAGTGGGGGTGATTGTAACACTTGAGATTTAATATAAATGGATTAATAGTACTACTCATACCAACAAGATGCATCTCCTTTTAAGGGAGCTCATCACCAAGAACTCCAAAGTTAAGCGTGCTTGCTTGGGAGTAGTCTTGGGATGGGTGACCCCCTGGGAAGTTTCTCAGGGCGCGCACGAGTGAGGACAAAGTGTGCGGAAAAGGCTAGTGGCGGTTTGTGAGGACAATACTATTGGTCCGGAGTAACTACCTCGGGTCCTGTGGGCTGGGGTGTTACAAGAAATCCTTAGAAAAACCTCATCACCGACCTCGAACTCCAACGGTCTCCGCCGTTTGTCAGCATAACTCTTCTGTCGGTCCTGAGCAGCCCTCAGTCTATCCTGAATGATCCTCACCTTAGCCTTGGTGATCTCAACCAGTTCTATCCCTTCGAGTTTGGCCTCGCCAACCTCGTCCCAACACAATGGTGTTCTGCATTTCCTCCCATACAATGCCTCATATGGAGGCATGCCGATACTTGCTTGATAACTGTTGTTATAAGCAAACTCCACTAGGGCCAAATGCTTGTCCCAACTTCCTTGGAACTCCAGCGCACATGCCCTAAGCATGTCTTCCAAAATCTGTATCACCCGTTCGGGCTGTCCATCCGTCTGTGGGTGAAAAGTTGTGCTAAACTTCAGTTTAGTACCCAACGATGCTTGAAACTTTGGCCAAAATCGGGAGGTGAATCGTGGATCCCTATCCGAGACAATGGATATCGGGACTCCATGTAATCTCACAATTTCCTCCGTGTAGAGCTTGGCCAATCTTTCAAGAGGATAAGTAATGTTGATAGGCAAAAAGTGAGCACTTTTGGTGAGCCTATCAACCACTACCCATACTGCGTCATAGTTGTTCACTGTTCGTGGTAGCCCCACCACGAAGTCCATGGTCACGTGCTCCCACTTCCACTCTGGGATGGTGAGTGGCTGCAAAAGCCCTGCCGGGTGTTGATGTTCTGCCTTAACTTGCTGGCAAGTAAGGCATCGACTCACATACTCTGCGATGTCTCTCTTCATACCTGACCACCAGTAACTTTCCTTCAAATCTCGGTACATCTTAGTACCTCCTGGATGCATAGCATAAGCTGAAGAATGAGCCTCCTCGAGTATAGACTTCTGGAGTTCTTCATTCTTTGGTATGCATACACGATCCTTAAACAATAATAGACCGTCATCGCGTACTCGGAAGTTCTCAACGGGCCCCTCAAGGATCCTTTCACGGATCTTCTGACATTCCTCATCAATGGCCTGACTTCGACTAATCTCGCCCAATAGGGTGGGCCTAACCTCAAATTGAGCAATGAGAGCCCCGCACGTGGACACCTCCACGCGTTCCCTCAATGCCTGCAGACAAGTAAGTAACGTCCCTGACGTACTCTTCCTGCTCAGTGCGTTGGCCACTACATTGGCCTTTCCGGGATGATAGTCGATGATCAAGTCATAGTCCTTGATCAACTCCATCCATCTCCTCTGTCTCATATTCAACTCTTTCTGAGTGAATACATACTTCAAACTCTTATGATCAGTGTAAATGTGACACGTCTCCCCGTAGAGATAATGCCTCCAAATCTTCAATGCAAACACAACTGCCCCCAGCTCTAGATCGTGGGTAGGGTAGTTCACTTCGTGTTTCCTCAATTGCCTAGAAGCATAGGCAATCACTTTACCGTTTTGCATTAGTACACATCCAAGCCCTTGGATGCTAGCATCGTTGTAGATATCATACCCTATCCCTTGTATGGGTAGGGCAAGGACTGGTGCTTCGGTAAGTCGTTTCTTCAGTTCAAGGAACCCTTTCTCACACTTGTCGTCCCATATGGACTTGGCCCCTTTCTTTGTGAGCTTCGTTAATGGAGACGCCAATACGGAGAATTTTTCAACAAATTTACGATAGTATCCCGCTAAGCCAAGGAAACTACGTATCTCTTTCACATTCTTGGGTCTCTCCCAATCCATGATAGCTTTTATCTTGGCGTTATCCACAGCTACGCCCGAACCAGATATGACGTGACCGAGAAAACCAATCTCTTTGAGACAAAATTCGCATTTAGAGAACTTGGCAAAGAGTTGCTTTTCCCTTAGCCGATCAAGTATAAGCCCCAAATGATGTTCGTGCTCCTCCTCACTCTTGGAGTATATCAAGATATCATCAATGAATACTATCACAAATTGATCTAAGTATTCACTAAACACCCGGTTCATCAAGTCCATGAATGCCGCCGGTGCGTTGGTTAAACCAAATGACATCACAAGGAACTCGTAATGACCATACCTAGTGCGGAATGCACTCTTAGGTATGTCGCTCTCCTTGATCTTGAACTGATGATACCCCGACCTCAAATCAATCTTCGAGAACACTATTGCCCCCCGAAGTTGATCAAACAAGTCATCAATCCTCGGTAAGGGATATCTGTTCTTGATTGTGACCTTGTTCAATTGTCGGTAGTCAATACACATTCTTAGTGTACCATCCTTCTTCTTCACGAAGAGTACGGGTGCCCCCCACGGTGAGTGACTGGGTCTGATGAATTTGTTGTCCAATAATTCTTGTAGTTGGACCTTCAACTCTTGAAGTTCGGCCGGTGCCATTCGATAAGGGGGAATCGAAATGGGTTTGGTTCCCGGCTCCACTTCAATTACAAATTCGATCTCTCTATCGGGTGGAAGCCCCGGTAGGTCTTTGGGAAAGACATCCGGGTACTTGCACACGACTCGTACATCCTTGATGTCAACTTCTTTCTTCGTATCGTCCACCACGTAAGCAAGGTATGTGTGGCACCCCTTTCTCATCATCTTCCGTGCTCTCATCACGGATATGATGCAAGCATTAGATTTCCCCCGATCTCCTTCGAAACATAGCGTGTTTCCTTGATCATCCTCGAGCTCCAACACCTTGGTGTAGCAATCTACTTGAGCATGGTGCTTCTCAAGCCAATCCATTCCTAGGATTGCATCGAACTCCAACATGCTTAGAGGTACGAAATCACAAGTCAAGGGTTGACCCGTCACTTCCACCTCACATGATGGATAGTAATGATTTCTCTCCACGTCGACTCCTAACGGTGTGGAGACTACCAACGTTTGCGTCAATGGTGTCAATGGCACGTCAAGGTCCTCGGCGAACGTCTCACTCACAAATGAGCGTTGTGTCCCGGTATCGATGAGGATCCTCGCACACCTACCATTGATCTTTAATGTTCCTACATTTATACACCATGTGAGATACATTTTCTAATGTTTTTACACATCTTTAGAAGGTTATTAGGTTCATACTAATGTTTGGAATCGAACGGGAGTCCAAACGTAGGAGAACGGAGCGAAAAAAATAAGTTTTCGGTTGCCAGGGGTCCACGCACGGCGTGCCTGCGGGCGTGCCTGGCCGAATTCCCTGGGAGAGCCACTCCCTCCCAGGCACGGTGCCACGCACGGCGTGCCTGCGGGCGTGCCTGGCCGAATTTCTCCACTGCCTCCCAGGCACGGTGCCACGCACGGCGTGCCTGAGGGCGTGCCTGGCCGAATTTTCTTGGAGAGCCATTGCCTCCCAGGCACGGTGCCACGCACGGCGTGCCCGGCCGGCAGTGGCTATTTTCAGCCTGATTTGGCCTAACTCACCCGGTTGGACCCCGGGGTGGCCCGCACTCAATCCCAACGACGTATATGATCAAAGTAAGCCTAGAAATGCCCAGAATAAGTGTATTACCTGCGACGGAGTCCGGGTTTGCTCGTGCATCCGCCTCGGTCATCGCGTAGACCCTTGCTTGGGCCCCGCCTTGATTTACGGACGCGGCATGGCTTGTTGAAGCGCCACCTCTTCCCGTACCGCCGTTTGACGGGCCCGCACGGTTTCTTCCCGTCATGGTTCCTCCTCCGGATCCCGGAGCTCCTCCTCCCCCCAATTGTGGGTAATTGGCCTTCATGTGGCCCGTGTTCCCACATCGATAACACCTCGGGGGTGCGTTGCACTTTCCAAAGTGATTCTTTGAACAGTTGGCACACTTAGGAGGCCCCGTATTTTGAGAGGAGGATGCGTGCCACCGAGCATCCTTGTTCTTCTTCGCCGGTGGTGCCGGCGCCTTGAATGTACCACCACCCCCACCGTGGTTATTCTTCCGTGCTTGCTCGGGCGGCCCCGAATTATGCCATTTTCTCTTTTTCGCCTCCTCGGCGTCTCTTTCTTTTCTCTCATTCCATTGAGCCTCCACAAGAAGGCCCTGCTCCACCACTTCGCTAAAGGTCATGTGGCGCGAGTACGTAGCCCGATCACGGATGTCCAAGAGTAGGGCATCCCAAAAGTGCTCCGACATGCGATCCTCATTGATCGCGTACTCCGGTAAGAACCTAGCCAAGGTTCTAAAATCTTGCTCCAACTGTTTAACAGAAACACCCTCCTTCTGTTTGAGGTTGGTGTACTCCCTACGCTTGACATTTTTCTCGTAGTCAGTGTAGTATTGGTCATAAAATTCCTGCTCAAAGTTCAACCACGAGACCTCCCCATGGTATTTTCCTTCTACACTCTCCCACCACGTGGAAGCTATCCCCTCCAGCAGCCGTGAAGCAACAGTCAACTTCACGTCCGGTGAAATTTGCATGTCCTTTGCCGCATCCTTCACCTTCTTTATCCAATCGGCGGCAACGGTAATGTCACCGGTGCCGTCAAAGGACTTACACCCCAAGGCCCTAGCCTCCTTGAGGTACTTGGAGATTCTCACGCAAAAACCTCCTTCACGCCCATCATGTGACGCCGCGGGAGTGGCCCTTGAAGCTCCCCGGCTTCCTTGACCCGAACCACCGCGAGAGCCACGCCTTGCTTGGCGCCTAAGGTCTCTCCTCAATTTCTCTTTTTGATACCACTCAAGTAATTCGCCCATTTGGGCGAACTTGGCATCACTCTCTTCATCATCATCATCGGTGTATGTGTCACCCCCATCATATGGGGTCTCCTCATGCCCCGTTTCAGGAACATATGTAGAGTCGTAGTCTTCGGTGTTAGTTTCATACACCGAACTAACATGGCCGTCGCTCACAGTTTGAGCCCTATGACCTCCACGACTTCCACGGCCTCCACGGCCTCCTCTTGAACCCCGAGATGCAGCCCGGCTTCCCCTTTGGGATGCTACCGGCGCCTGCCCCCTCGGATTGTTCCTGGTTGCCATTCGCCTGCCCTCCATTTCTGAAAGAAATATGGATGAGTCATTAGACTCCTATAAATGTCAATTGACGGAAGAACGTTACAGACACGTATTGGCCCAAGTCACCACCATACCAATTGTTAAGGGTACCGTCTTAACAATTAGAGGCCTTGCAACTTTAAGCACCAATAGTCCTATAAACGTCAAAATACAATGCTCATGGTTTTCGGTAAAAATTCTTTTGTAAAATCTTTTGTGAGAGGTTGATTATATAGTTTAGAACTGAGATAGCTCTGATACCACTTAATTGTCACGCCCCATACCGCAATCCAAGCGCGTGTACAACCGCCGTATAACTAAGTGACGTCACCCACGAGTCAACCTCACTTAATTACACAAGGCGTTCGAGAAAACAATCCATCCATACTCAGTAGTAAACATACATAACAACATCACATTTAAACCAATGAATAGCGGAAATATTCAACGGTAAGTCATGGGCCACAACCGGCCAACAACATGGGCATACAAGCCCCAAAAATAGTTTATAGTAAAAACAAATATCCATGAGCAAGTGTTCGGTAGTTTGAAAGAAAATAAGGAAGCATGAACCACGTCTTCCTGATTTGATATCACCCGTGAGAAGGTGCAAGTAGCAAGCCATAGCTTCAACCTGAAAATGGTGGGGGGCCCCGAAGGGGTCAGTACAAGTACCGAGCGAGTAGCAGGCTAAATATAGAATAACTAGCGTTTCAAGTATAAGACCCAAACATAGGGTGATACTTAAATAAATAGTCTTTTCCCCAAGTTATGAAATACTTATTAGTATATATATACTTGGAAAATATCCGATCCGTAGATCACCATTTTATTTGGGAAAAATAGTAATAGTCAATATTCTTGACTAAAAACCCCATGTAACACCCCCATTTTCCCTCCCAAAGTAATACTTGAAATAATAGATTTATTTATAATAACTTGATTTATTCTTTCAAACAGATAAAAAGTTTTGCAGCGGAAATAACATTAATTGGGAAATGGGTGTTACCGCCACATCCGGTCATCTCTTAACCGAATGCACAGGCAATCACCAAACAAAGTAAAACAAGTGTTCAACATAATTGGATTGTTTATTTATGACTAGGTTTGACTAAGGCATCTCTAAACCGCTCTCGTGGTCATACAATCATCAGTCCACATAAGCATCATCACCTGCACAAATAAAGTGCTGAAAACAAAACAAAGAAAAGGAAACAAAAATTAGCTTTAGAGCTAAGTAAGTACTACCCAACCCCGTAAAATAATCAGGTTTGGCTAAAAATAGTTTTTCATATAATACTATATAAAAATGACACACTCCACCAAAATTCTTTTCTCTTTGATCACTTCTTTACTAAAGTCGTCAACTTTTCTTCGAAAATACTATAGTAACTCTTCTCTTAGAACTTCTCAAAATTCACTTCTTCTCTATCTTCCTAGTAATTTAGAAGGGCGGTGCCCAACACTCTAGTTGAGCCCGGTGGTTACGTTATTATGTACGGCCACCCCGGGACTTTTGCCGGTACCACAACTGCTAATGGAAACGAAACGACTACCTTAAGTGTGCACACCCCCTAAAAGGGATTCCAAGCCCTCCGAGTAGTAAGTCGTCACGAGTAATCGGGACTCAGTCTACCAACTACCCCACCTTTAAAATTCTTGAATGATTAGGGACTACTACTACTATAACTTCTTCTTAAAAGGGATCATAGATCCAAACGTCACTTCAAACTCAAACTGTACTTCTTAGTAGTAGCAGCCTTAATCACCCTCCACATTTATCCGGATGTGGAAAACCGACACCACGGATTTCTCCCGGGTGCTCACTTCTTATAAAAACGTAAATTTTATCTTGACTTTAAATATACTTCCAAAAAAAATATTTCTCACTCTCTTTAAATAGTCTCAAAGATATTTAAAAATATTTAATACCCAAAAGTACTTAGTTTGCACTTCTCAAATACCATAGATCTAATATCTCCTCAAAATCACATACACATAATTCAAAATTCACACTTAATCATGTAATGCATAATAAGCATATAATACGAGGAAATCATTTTGGATCGGCAGAGAAACTTACCTTAAGTCCTGATGCTCCTAATTCTCTTTCTCAAATCCGGTCTCTAAATGTTCACCTTTTTAATTAAGATGATATAATTAGTCACTTATTCTATTTGTAATAACTTATCCGATTTTCACCTTTTACTGTATTTATTCAAATTTATTAATATAATTAATTAAATAATTATTCAAACTTAGCTTATCCATTCATTAATCACTTTTACTAATCCATTACTTTGTTACTATATGGATTCGGCCAATAATTTTTAATTACTAATGATCCAATATCGTGTTTTACTATCCGAATTATATTTCAATTACATATCCAAATTTCACAATTTCTTTATCAACATTAATTTACTCTACTCATAAACATCAAAATAATTAATTATATTTTAATATTATTAAGTTATACAAATTATAAACATATTCGAATTACCTTCAATTATAGTTTATTACTAATATTTTCGTACTTAATGACTATCTTAATTAAATTCGGTAATTAATTCAATAATTCTTTATTAATTTCAATCTAGTCCGATAATAAAAAGGTATCAAATAATTAACTAGCTCAATTCGTCATAATCTTTTTATTATTGACACCTATATTATTAATCCAAAGATTTTGTTAATAATCTGAATTATATTTAATTAAATTATTCAAATTTCATAATTACCTTAATCAACATTATTAGTGAATCCAAATGTTCTAGCAATTAACTAATCATCATTAACTAAACCTGATTTTATTAATCTACTTAACACTTAATATTTCCGAGTCCGTAATTTAATTTTATGAATCTACTTCCATTAATCCAATAATTAGTGAAAATAATACCTATCCAACTTTGTTTAATCTGATTATGTTATTAAGTCCAAATGACTAAATATTATTTTGATATAATGTACGTTTATTAGTTTTTATTAATTACTCATCAATTCATTTTAGCATTATGTAATTAGGTTATCTAACAATTAACAAATTTATCTAAGTGATTACTATCAATCAACCAAGCCAACTTCCTCATTAATATTTCTCATCTCAAATTTGTCAATTTTGCAGATTGTTATTCCTATTATTATTATTATATTATTATTATTATTATTATTATTATTATTATTATTATTATTATTATTATTATTATTATTATTATTATTATTATTATTATTATTATTTCTTTTATTATAGCCCAAATTATTATTATTATTATTATTATTATTATTATTATTATTATTATTATTATTATTATTATTATTATTATTATTATTATTTCTTTTATTATAGCCCAAAAAATTATTATTATTATTATTATTATTATTTCTTTTATTATAGCCCAAGTACTTAAGGTTGTGGTTGAACATTTAAAATTAGGCCCATTTATTAAATAGGCCCAAAATTTCAGCCCAACCATACAAAGAAGAATTGAATTGCAGAGGCAAAGCCTCTATGTCATCTTCTTCCATGAAAAGTGTCGGCACGAAGGAAAACAAACGCAGAGAAACGAGGCTAACCTACGGTGATGATGGGAAGGGCGGTGTGTCTATGGAAGGAGAAGGACGGCAGTCGGCTGGTGTTGGCAGCAGAAGTTGCTCCGTTCTTCGACGGCAAACCAGTCCGGCGGCCACCCCGGTGAGCTCGTTCTTCCACGTTTCACGACCGTTTTTATTGATTCTTCTTCCGTTGGCTTCCTCTCACGAAGGGAAATGATTTAATGTGATTTTTGGCTTCGGTTTGGGGTTATAATGAAGGGTCGAAAATTTGACTCATATAGGCGTATATGCGTATATCAGTCTATGTATATATATGTAACTATATATATGCACGGGTGTTAAGCTCAGCTTTGGTGTAGATGAAAGTGTAGGTCAAGGCCGGTATTTATACCGATAGATAGAGGGTTATGGGTTTGACATCGAACGCATCCCATTGGCTTTGAGCTTGTTTGGTTTTACCTGGAAGACTCCCAGTCCGTATATAAATACATATATGTTGGTCTGGATACGTAAGTTATAGAGCTAGGGAGGAATAGATTGATCACTGTATGACATCCCATGTGGGTGTACCTGATTTGTAAAGATATGGTTAATGTATGATGTATTTTATTTTATCTTATTTTTGGCCATATTGGTTGACATCTCCGACCACCATATGTGATTGAGTGTGCAAAGCATATGGCTACCATGTGCATATTATTGATATGGAGTATTACTTGGTTATTAGATGAATGATGATGTTATGTGTTTCGTATATCCTTGCTATTACAGCCATATTATTGTTGTTATGCATTATTATTAGTTTTTAGAAGTCAACTCTTTCAACATTGTATTCTTGTATAGTATTTTTTTTTATTAACTCGTATCTTCAAATTCATATATCACTTTTATTATTTATGTCAAGTCTTTTCCGGTCAACAATATTATTATAAAAATGTCACTTTTATTATTGAAACATTTTTATCTGATTAAAAATGTCACCAATGTTAAGATTTTATCTGATTCACTTGATTATTAAAAAAATCACTTTCGTAATATTTTGCTAACTAATAAAATTTGTTTATTTTATTTTATTAAATTTTTCGAGGTGTCACATTCTACCCTCCTTAAAAGATGTTTCGTCCCGAAACATAAACTAAAGAAAATTTTATCCGCAAATGAATACCACATCTTAGTTAATATTAAATTTTATTTTATTAAGTTTATGGAGTGTCACACCCCAACCCACCCATATACCTATGAGTGTATAGGACTCCTCCTTGTCCCTATTTGTATATCATAATCTATGAGTTTTAGGATCATGATCCTTGGATACTCCACCGGTTTGTGAGTGTTAAGGACTCATAAATCTTAGGGTCCTCCACCAAGTTTTGAGTGTTAAGTACTTTTAAGTACTAGGGTCCTCCACCAAGTTTTGAGTGTTAAGTACTTTTAAGTACTAGGGTCCTCCACCAAGTTTTGAGTGTTAAGTACTTTTAAGTACTAGGGTCCTCCACCAAGTTTTGAGTGTTAAGTACTTTTAAGTACTAGGGTCCTCCACCAAGTTTTGAGTGTTAAGTACTTTTAAGTACTAGGGTCCTTGATAGAGTATATGGGCCTGGACCCCATGGCCCACATACTCAACGGCCCGAAAGACACCGGCGGGGCACCCGCATCGGCCAAAGGCACGTAACGTCCAATGAAGAAGATATCGCCTGATATCTTTGGATCGCATCGTCCATGGACCGCATCGTCCATGGACCGCATCGTCCACGGACCGCGTCGTCCGGACTTCGTCCAGACGGAATGTATTTTCCTATTTTATGTACTAAGTGTTGTACTCAGCCCATTAGTGGCCTTATTCGCCCAAAGAAGGCATAATTATTGTAATGGGCCTCCTAAGCCCAAGGCTAGGGGCCCAAATCCACAATTTTACCTATAAATAGACCCCAAGGGGCTAATTATAGGGGGTTCCAAGTTGAGAAATATAATTACTCACTTTTTCTCTCTAGCTCTCACTTCTCTCTAGAATTAATACTCTGTCATTTGGTGCTCTCATTGAGAGCCTAGAACAGATCAAGTGAGTACCCTTCGTCGTTGCCAGACACTACCACTAGCTATGACAAGAACTAGGTCAAAGAACACTGGTAGGAACGCCCCTCTGAACCAGGAAGGGCAGGGAAACGTTGCTGACAACGTCCCCAATGACCTCATCATCTAGGATGAGAATGCTCAGGAGGTTGAGCACGCGACGGCTGACCTTCGCGTCCAGCTCAACAGGACTGCCCCGGATGCTCGCATCGGACTTGAAGACCGACGCAATGCTGATCGCACTTCGGGCCAGCAGGCCTCTCACCCTGCTGCTCCCCAGATCAACCCGGCCGCGTTATCGGCCATTGTCGCAAGCATCCTCCAGGACCCCAACGTCGTCAGCGCTCTTGTCGCAAAGACCGGGGAAAACAACACCCCGGCAACTGGAGAGGTCGCAACGGTGCCACCACCGCCACCTCGTCCGCAAGGCGTTACCTTCTTCGGTGACAACGAGGACGTCCTCGCCGTGGACACCCATTCCCACACTGCCTCACCTACCCGGGATACACCGGCCCAACCTCGCGGTAAAATCTCAGCCTTCAACAGGCTGGGTGACATCGCGAGCCGTCGGGTACCTACGGGAGGGGTGGCGGGTCGGTTGGGTGGCCGCGAGCCGGGGTCACCAAAGGAAAGCTTCGGGTCCGTTTCCCGGACAACGGATCGGCCCCGACAAGACAAAGGAAAGGGAAAACTGAATGATGATGATGCGCGTCATCAGATCAACCTGGCCCACGCGGCCCGGATCCAGACCCCGCTGGGTGGCGCTGCGGCCAACACGGACCCAAGGGACGAGATCATCGCCCGCCTGGAGAAGCGCCTCGCCGATATGGAGGCCCGGGAGGCCGCAGGGCGCGCAGCAGCTCAGGCATCCCAGCATCCCAACTACGATGCACTCCTACACAAAGTCAGTGCCTTGGAGAGGGAGCTGGCCGACCGACGCGACGAGCCCGTCATCCAAATACGAACACGAACCCCCTTCTCTGCAAGGGTGCTCTCCGCTCCCATCCCGGAGAAATATAAGGGGAACCCGATCAAGCCATACGACGGCCGCACTGATCCCCAGGAGCACTTCACCCGTTATCAGAACAATATGATGATGACCAACGCTTCGGAGGAGTACATGTGTCGCTGGTTCCTATCCACCTTGGAGGGACCAGCGTACGATTGGTTCAACAACCTTCCGGAGGGGAGCATCGACTCATGGCAGGATCTCGCTCAACGCTTCCTCACCCACTTTGCCGGGAGGAAGCGCGCGAAGAAGCATTTCGCTCATCTCCTGACCATCAAGCAACAGTCGGAGGAGACGCTCCGAGCCTTCCTCGATCGCTGGACGAGGGAGGCGGACGAATGCGAAGGAGCCGATGAACGCACCCTCCTGGCCTTCCTCCGCGGAGCACTCCGGCCGAGCCACTTCGCCCGGAGCCTGTTCACGGAGCCGCCGCGGTCATACCTCGCGGCGCTCCGGCGCGGAGATAGGCACGCTGATGCCGACGAGCTCCTGAACCAAAAGAAAGGTGGGGAGAAGCTACAAAAGAAGGACTCCTCGTCCAACCCCCACCACGCGCCGGCCAACAAAGGACAGAATCAGCCGAAGAAGGCGCACCAAGAGCAGGGCGGACAGCGAAGAGAGGATCGTTCATGGCGTCCAAAGTTGGAGGCACAACGCATCCCCCTCACCCACCCGGTGAGCGTCGTCCTTGACCACGCCGAGGCGCAGGGCCTCATTGTGAAAGATCCCAGGTCAGAGGAGGAGATATTTGCGGTCCACAAGGGAGGGACATATTGCAAATACCACCGCCAGACATCCCACAAGACCGAGGATTGCACCACCTTGAAGAGGCACATCGACGGCCTCATCCGACAGGGGGAACTTTCCCAATTTGTCAAGGGTGCCCCCAAGAGTAACACTTGGGTTAACCCTGGAAAAAGGGGGGAAGGATCCTCCGGGAAAAAGAGGGAGATCGGCGCCCTCAGTGAAGATGAGGACGAAGAAGAGCCCCGCCAGAAGAAACATCACATTCACATCATCGTCGGCGGAAACACAGGGGGGGACTCGGCTACCCAACGGAAAAAATGGGCTCAGTCCCTATACGTTGGTGAGGTGTCCCACACCCCCCCTCAGCCGAAGCGACGGAACGTGGAGGCCATCACCTTCACCGACAAGGACCTCCCCTTCGGCCCCTTGCCCCACAGGGACGCCCTCGTCGTCAAATGCGAGATTGGCAACAACATCATCCACCGCAACTACATCGACACTGGCAGCTCTGTCAATGTGATGTACGTTGACACCTTCAGACAGCTGAAACTGAAGAAGACCGAGCTCCGGCCGATACGGACTCCGTTATCCGGCTTCACCGGGGACTCTATCGACGCCGAGGGCACGATAGTGCTTCCCGTTGTTGTCGGTGACGGTACCTGTCAGGCGAAGATTTATATGGAGTTCGTGGTCGTCAACCTGGACAGCGCCCACAACATGATCTGGGGCCGACCGGCCTTGGAGGACCTTGAGGCCATCATCTCCATGAGACATCTATGCCTCAAGTTCCCCACCAAGGACGGCGTCGGCTACGCCAGAGGAAACCAGAAGATAGCCAGGGCTTGCTACCTGAAGCTCACGAGGAAGATCAATGAGGCCGAGGAGCGGATAGACACTATCACCACCGCCTCGGCCAAAGAAGACACACTAAAGGCCGAACCGGTCGGAGACGTGGAAGATGTTCCGTTGGACGTCTCCCGGCCGGAACACATGCTAAAGATCGGGACACAGCTCCCCCAACAAATCAGAAGGGACATCCTCTCTGTCCTGAGAGCGTACGCCATCGTCTTTGCATGGGGACCAGAGGACATGCCAGGCATCAGCCCGAAGGTAATCACACATCGGCTATCGGTGAACCCGGCCTCCTCCCCCATCAAACAGAAGAAGCGCTACCTCTCAGCCGACAGGAGGGAATTTGTCAAGGCCGAGGTGGCCATGCTGCTCAACATCAAGCACATCAGAGAAGTGAAGTACCCCACGTGGTTGGCGAACGTCGTCCTCGCCCCAAAGCCGCCTACGTTCAGAATGTGTGTTGACTACACTGACTTGAACAAGGCGTGCCCAATGGACCCATTCCCTCTCCCCAACATTGATCAGTTGGTGGATGAGACGGCGGGGTGCGAGTTGATGTCGTTCCTCGACGCGTTCAGAGGGTACCACCAGATATCCATGCACGAAGATGACGCGGAGAAGACCGCTTTTATGACCCCGGAAGGAATTTTTTGCTACCTCGTCATGGCCTTTGGGCTCAAGAACTCCGGCGCCACCTACACAAGGATGGTAGCCCGGATTGTTAGAGCAGTCTTAGGTCGGACGATGGAAGCATACGTCGACGATATGATCGTCAAGAGCAAACAATCCACAACCCATGCCGACGACCTCCGGGGCATCTTCGAGATCATGAAGAGATACAACCTCCGGCTCAACCCAAAGAAGTGCACCTTCGGCGTCCAGGGAGGTAAATTCCTGGGGTACCTGGTCAGTCGAAGGGGCATCGAGGTGAACCCGGAGAAAATACAAGCCATCATCAATATGGAGCCACCCCGCAACATCAAAGAAGTACAACGGCTGACGGGACGCCTTGCGGCCCTGAACCGTTTCCTTTCAAAATCCGCGGAGAAGTCGCTCCCCTTCTTCCAAATAATGAGAAAGGCCGCTAGCTTCAAATGGACGACGGAGTGCCAACAAGCCTTTAACGAACTGAAGCGATATCTCGCCTCCCCACCCGTCCTATCCAAGCCCCAACCCGGCGAGACTCTCTTCCTTTACTTAGGAGTGAGCACGTCGGCCGTCAGCTCCGTACTCATCAGGGAGGATGACGGGGTACAAAAAGCAATATTCTACGTCAGCAAGACGTTGCGGGAGGCCGAGCTCAGGTACTCCCCCATTGAGAAGACGGTGCTGGCCATCGTCCACACGGTGAAAAAACTTGGACACTACTTCCAGGCTCACCCCGTCCACGTCCTCACGCATCAGCCATTGGGCACCCTCATGAGGAGCCCAACCAGCTCCCCAAGGATGATCAAGTGGGCAATATTCTTGAGCCAGTACCAGATTGAGATCAAGCCGAGGCCATCCATCAAAGGGCAAGCCTTAGCTGACTTCGTCACCGAGTGCACGGCAAGGGAGACGGCCATTACCACCACAGGAGCTGAACCGGACGAAGCCTGGGCCCTCTACACGGACGGGTCCTCGGCCACCAAAGCTTGTGGGGGTGGCGTCGTCCTCATCTCCCCGGAAGGATTCAGAGCGTACTACGCCATCCGCTTCAACTTCAAAGTATCCAACAATGAGGCCGAATATGAAGTGCTCCTCAGCGGACTCAGACTAGCCGCTGGCCTCAAAGCACGCCACGTCAGAATCAAATGCGACTCCAAACTCGTAGTGAGCCAGATGGAGGGTTCCTACGAGGCCAAAGAAGGGAGGATGAAGCAATACAAGGAGGCCGCTGCGGAATTGCTCAAAGCGTTCGATACCTACGAGATCACTCAGATCCCAAGGGCGGAGAACGCCGAGGCCGACATACTCTCCAAACTCAGCTCCGACACCCCTGAGCACATCTCCAAGATAGCTAAGGTGGAGGAGTTGAGCATGTCAAGCATTCACGCCAGTCCCATACTCTCCATACAACATCAGCAGGAGGATTGGATCACCGACATCGCAACCTACATCACCTCCGGCACATTACCCGAAGACGAGGAGAGGGCTAAACTCGCCAAACTCAGGGCGCCAAGCTATGTCATTGAGGGTGACAAGCTCTACAAGAGATCATACAATGGCACCCTCCTCCGGTGCCTCCACCAGAATGAGGCCGAAGTGGCCATGGAAGAAGTCCACTGCGGTGTGTGCTCATCACACCAGGGACCCTTCAGCATGTCGCGCCGCCTCGTCGTCCAAGGCTACTTCTGGCCGACGATGGCGCGCGATTGTGCTGAAGTCGCCCGCAAATGCACAGCATGCCAGCATTATCAAAGGGCACCTGGCCGACCGGCCGTCAACTACGCCCCGGTCAGCACTGCCATCCCATTTTCCAGATGGGGCATCGACCTCGTCGGCCCATTACCAAGAGCTGCGGGCAACAACAGATACATCATCGTCGCCATCGACTACTTCACCAAATGGGTCGAAGCCGAACCACTCGCAAGCATCACCGGAGCGCGGTGTCGAAAGTTCGTCTACAAGAACATCCTCACCCGCTTCGGCGTGCCCCAGGAGATCATATCAGACAACGGCACCCAATTTGAAGCCGAACCGTTCCAAAGCCTCCTCCAAGAATGGGGCATCAAACACCGTTTCTCCTCCGTTGCCTATCCTCAGGCCAACGGGCAAGTTGAGAACGCCAACAGAACCATCTTGGAGGGACTAAAGAAGAAGCTTGAAGAAGAAGGCGGAAGTTGGGTCGACGAGCTCCCCAACGTCCTATGGTCCTACCGAACTACTCCAAGGAGGGCCACCGGGGAGACTCCATTCTCCTTGTGCTACGGCTTCGAAGCCAAGGCTCCCACTGAAGTCACCCTCCCCAGCCGACGGGTCACACAATACGACCCCGAAGCCAATGAAGAAGCAATGAAGATTGACTTGCACCTCATCGACGAAAGGCGGGAGATGGCCTACCTCAGAGCGGAGAACTACAGACGACAAGTCAAATCCTACTACGACGCCAAGGTCCGCTCCCGCGAATTCCAAGTGGGGGACTACGTCCTCCGCCGAAGGGAAGCTAGCAAACCAACGGAAGGAGGAAAGCTCGCCGTCAAATATGAAGGGCCCTACATCATCAGCGCCATCGTCAAAGCCGGCACCTATAGACTAAAGAATCCCAATGGGTCAGATGTGCCACGATTGTGGAATGTACACCATCTGGTGAAATTTTACCAATAATTCGAGAAGTGGTGAAGCGGGCAACGTCCCCCACCCCTCGGCGTATTGGTTGAATAAAACACCCTCGGCCTAGCGCCACTTAATGAATAAAATTCACGTTTCATCCAATCTCTTAAGACTTGAGCAAAGGGAAACCCAAGGACCGCATCGGCCTAAGCAGGTGCAAACACCCGGGACCGATGCGACCTAAAAAGCCGTCGCAATAAACGACGCACCTAAAAGCCGTCGCAATAAACGACGCACCTAAAAGCCGTTGCAATAAACAACGCACCTAAAGCCGTCGCAATAAACGGCGCACCCAAAGCCGTCGCCATAAACGACGCACCCAAAGCCGTTGCAATAAACAACGCACCTAAGGCCGTTGCGATCCACAACGCGCCTACAAAGCCGTTGCATAGGCAACGCACCCAAATATCGTATCGGCACAAGCGGTGAAACACCCAAATCGGCCGGCGATATGTAGGACAAAGGACCTGTGTGCATGGTCCGACGTCTTCAAACGGAGAAGCATACCGCGTCGTCCTCGCGGAAACCGCAGGACGACAAGCCTGAATTAAGGCCGAGGTTACAAAAACTCCACCCGTCAGTAAAATTTCGCTCAGGACCACAAAGGGCGGCCGTCTAAAGACGATGCATAGTCCGGTCCCTCGTCGACGATAGACGTGGAAAGGCCAAAAAAGATGCCACTGACACACCAAGCCGAGGGCGTATTTACTCCCTCGCACTAATTCACGTGAAGAGCGTAGCGGACAAACTACCGCACACGGACGAAGGGACAGTAACCCTTCGGCCACCCAAAAAAAAAAAAGAAGAGAGAGGGGAGCCGACGGACCGCGCACTCGCCGGCCTCGAGCATAAAATAAAATCCCCACAAAAACCAAGCCTCAAAATCGGCTAAGTACATATCAGGTTTTCACCATACAGGAATCCGAAGAAAACGCTTCGGCCTCAACCGCAACTACGTAAGATGGAATCACTTCGGCTTCAATTATACAAAACCACATTCCATTGGCTGGACGATGGGTCGCATCGTCTCCGAGTAACAAATCCCAAATGGCGAACCGAGGCAAAACACCTCCATCAAGTCAAGTTTGACACTGAAAAATTTTCAAAATCACATTCAAAGGAAGCCGAGGCGCTACCAGCCCATACCTAGGTATCGCTTCGTCCTCAACAAACCAAAACGAAAGCGGCACACCAAGGGTTGACGAGGGACAGCGTCCCCGGTGATAACAAATGGAAAGAGGACCGCTACGTCTCAGCGGACGGATGTCACAAGATAAAATCTTGGCACTTAGAAAGATTTCAGAGCTTTGGGGCCATGCCTTACCTAAGACGCAAGGGACGTAGCGCCGCGCCAAGGAAAAGTTTCAACACTTGGTAAATTTTTGAAACACATGTTCTAAACACAACAGTTCAGACGAAGGGGCGCATCGTCCCTAATTATAAGATGCAGGAAACACGCGCAACGTCCTCACACACATACCAGTGAGGCGAGGGTGCGCCCACATCAACACAGAGGAAATGATGGAACGCATCGTCTCAAAATTGGCAAATTTGCCAAGATAAAAACTGGCAAAGCAATGTCACTCAGACGACGCGACACCGACAAACCAAACACCAAACATAAAAGGAAAACGAAGCAAGGAACAACATTCATATTTAGAACAAAAAAGTGTTATCATTAATGATTCAAGATTGGGGCGCATCGGCCATTACAAAAGAGGGCGCTTCGGCCATTGAGACTACTACTACAAATGAAAAAAGAAACTAAGGAAACATCAGGCAGCTTGTCCCTGGCCGCCTTCAACGGCTCCACTATCGGCATCGTCCTCGACGTCCTCAGTGGTCTTCGACTTGGCCGAGCTCCGGAAGAGGTAGTCGTCACTCTCGGTCCAGGGCCCGTCCTCCTCGCTCGAGCTCAGAATGGGGGGTTGCCTCTCGGACAGTGGGAGCTTCAACTCCTCCTCAGGGTCCTTCATCAGCCGGGGAAGGCCGATACCCCTGGGCTTCAGATTTTTCACACGCCGGCGAAGACGGCGGTAGACCAACATCTGCATACGCCTCTGGCCGAGGTCGTACCAGACTTCAAATTCCTGTTTGAGGCAAGCTCGGCCAGCTTCCTCCTGAGACCACGCTTCGAAGCGCTCCGCCACGACATTAAAGCTCCAGTCGCGCCGGGTCTCGTCCTTCCAACCTTCAGCCATGAAAAGTTCAATGGCTCTATCAGCAGCCGCTGCCGCATCGGCCTCCAGCTTCACAGCTTTTTCTTCTGCTAGCCGACGGGCGGCCGCTTCTTCATCAAGCTGATTTTTTAGGCTCTTCGCCTCGTCCTCAGCAACAACGGCTCTCTTCTCAGCCGCATCAGCTTTTTCCTTCAAGGAGGCAGTCTCAGTCCGAAGCCGCTCCAATTGGGAAAGCGCCTCGTCAGCAGAGGCGGCTTTCTTCTCAGCTTCGCGAAGGCGAGCAAGCTCCTCGTCCTGCCGCCGCTGCTGCTCCATGAGCATGAAGGCACCCTGCAGAAACATGTAACATTAGAAAAAGAAGGAATACAAAAATTACTAAGTACCAAGTCAGAAATTTACCTGGACGACGTAGTCCAATCCACCATCAAAGAGACGCACATCCTTGCTCTGCCGACGTAGGTACTCCCTATCGGCATCGGGAATGGCCTGGAACAGGACGTCGTGCCCGGAAACCTTCTCGTTGAATAAACCGCCCTTCGGCGGATACCGCACCGTCACCTCATAAAGACCGGAGGTCAGGTCTCGGTCAGCACGGGCACTCTTCTTTGCAGCAGCCCCGGACTTAGCAGGAACTAGGGCGGACGAGGCGACGTTCAACGTCAGATCCTCGATGATGTGCACATCAGAAGCAGCTCCCCCTTGGACCGATGCCTGCGTGTCGGCCAAAGCAGCGTCATTGGGGGGAGGGTTCGGCTTCGTCTTCTTGGCGCCTTCAGCCGGCACCAGACCCGTCTCAGTAAGAGTACGCTGGCCCTCAGCAGCCTTCTTCCTCTTCACCACCGGCTTTTTGGCCGCATCAGCAATACTCTTAGAGCCGTCGCCAGAACCCTTGGACGCCTCGGCTCGCTGGGCAGCCTCCAACTCCTTTGCAACCTGCTTCTTGGCTTGGGCCATGAACATTTTGCGACTCATCTCGTAACCTGCAGAGGACGACACCAAAGAAAAAAAGGGGATTAGACACAAAAAATACGAAGAACAAAAAGATTCAAAGGCAAGTGTCAACCTTCGGCCTCGGCCGGAATCCCAATAAGTGGCCCATCGGCCTGTTCAAAAGAGCCAGAGATCCTCGGCCACAAACCGCAATCCGGGTCGCCAGGAATGTAATACCGCATCATCCCGAGAGCTGCAATTTTAAACTCAGTGATGTACGTGTTCACACTCCTCGGCCCACCTTTCAGGAATGCCTCAACTTGGGCATCGAGCTCAGCGCTTCGCGGCGGATTATGCAGGCTAAACTTACCATTATGCCCTTGCGAAGGAAAGAAAACCCCATCGGCCAACTTCACGAACACAAACTTCGCCTTCCACCCATGGATAGACGAAGGAAGGTCTTTAAAAGACTTCTTCTCCGGGAGTTGCTGAAGCGTAGCATAACCAGCACAATTCTTATGGCTCCCTCGGCCGATCCGGAACAAATTTGAGAAAAGAGCCGTCGTAGGCTCAAAACCGAGCTCGTCGCATCGGATGAGGAACCCAACGATCAGTGAGAAACTATTCGGCGTCAATAGCGCCGGGGGAAGATCTACCATCTTCAGGTACTCGATCACAAAGGGTGGCAACGGAAATCGTAGTCCTTGCGAGAACCCCATCGGATAAACCCCGAAGTACCCAGGAGGAGGATTCAGAACATGGTCCGTCGGCCTCGGCTCCCTCACCTTTCCATAAGGCCCAACATACAGCTGAGCCAAATGGTACTCACCTCGGGTGCTTTCGGGCCTTATGATATACAGATTTGTTAAGTCCAACTGGGACAGCCCGCCAGCCGCGGCCTTCCTCCGACGCGAGCCGCGTTTCTTGGTGACTTTAGAAGACGACGCCCCACCTGGCACGGATGAAATTGGCGGAGGGCAGGGGATGGCGGCCGAAGAGGCATCACCCGCTTCATCCCCCCGAAGTTTGGGTTCAGAGCTCGCCTCGTCCTCGCCCGATGATTGGGAACCCGCATCATCAATCAAACGCTCCTCGTCTTGAGAAGTGCGGTAATCAGCCGTATTCTCCATCTCTGTTTCAAACGCTCGAATTATCTCAAGATTCACTCCAGGAGACGGATCCTCTTCGTCAAAAGGCCAGTCCGACTCGTCCAAAGAAGCTGTTAAGTTAAGAGGGGAGGGGACGCTACGGCCGTCAGGGAACGGCATAACAACTATTGCTACGACCTAAGGGTGGTTCGAGGATCAAAGTGATTTTCCCTAGAAACACTAGATCTAACCCCCTAGGAAGCAAAGTATAAGCAAAAAAGGAAGAAGAATTCAAGAACCTAACCTCGAAAGTTTTGAAGGTCTGAAGAACACTTGAAGATTTCTCGGAAGCACTTTATCTCTCTAAAAAATCTCAGCAGCACTTCAACTTTAGCAAAACGCAAATGAGGAAGTGGCTTCGGAATGATGAGGTATTTATAAACATCCTCCAACGGTCACTACACGTGGCACCCACGCATTAGCCACGGCAACGGCCACCTCTCTCCCGACCAATCAAGGGGTATCAATTCAAAATCACTCATGCAAGCACCCCTACGGCCCAACACAGCCTTAACAAAGAGCAGGGCATCGGCCAAGCACCACTACGGCCCAATTACTACAAAGCTCCAGAACAGGCACCGGTCCATTCTCCCGAATAAGGAACGCATCGGCCTAAACTCGACGTCCTCACAACAACCCAAGGAACCTTAAATAGACCGCTACGGCTGCTTGTGCGCGCATCGTCGATGATAACCCTGGCATTGCGGCCTTCGTCCAAGGGTTCTCCCACAGGGTTACCTTGGACAGGTTCGCCTAAGGGTTGGAGTCGCGACTAACGCATAAGTAACGAATCGGCTCATTACTCCCTTGTGCCTCAGATGCTCTTCGGCCAAAGGAGTGGGGGACTGGGGGACTGTATCGGCCACAAGGAAAGAAAACGCAACGGCCTTGATGCAAAAAGGATGCGCTACGGCTCACCAACAACAAAAGACGGGCGATTCACCTCAAAAAAGCACTGGGAGTCGCGTCGGCTACCTCAATGGCATTGCGAGTCACGTCGGCCACAGAGCCCAAAATGAAAAACCCAAAGTACAAAACCTAAGCGCGCAACGGCTGCGCACACTGGGAGACCGCATCGGCTCACCAGAGCAAGAACCCACAAATCAAACGCTTCGGCTACACGACGAATCAAAGGCGTGCATCGCATCGTCTACATAAATGGAATCAACCATCTCCATCCCATGAAAATATGTCATCGCTACGGCCAGAAGAATATATGGGAGCTCTTCGGCCCCAACAAGATGACGACGAAAACATGCCAACTTATCCACCAGGATTCATCGCATCATCTACAAAAAAGGAAAGCGCATCGCCTCGTCTTCAAAAGCACTTCCACAAAGAGTGCAGCGGCCCGCATCAAGACTATGAATTCCCAAGCGCTCTTGATATGCACTAATTAGTAGTGCATAAGTGTATGTTTTTATGTTTGATTTGTGTGGATTGTTTACCGTTTTATTTAGTTTGTAAACATTTGTGTGATTTTAATTGTAATTGTATTTTAATCTTCATTTGTAAGTTGTAAAGTAGAGTTAGGAATTAGGGTGTTGAAAAGGAGGACTTTGAAGTAAAGAAAAAGGTGATAAGTGTGCCCAGGAGCACAAACCCGGTCGGGTCAGACCATGCACACGGTCGGGTCTGATGTAAAATCCGAAACTGCCTGGAAAATCATCAGACCCGGTCGGGTCCCCTACTTGACCCGGTCGGGTCAGACTTGACCCGGGACACCAGAACGTGCCGAAGATCGCCAGAACGTGGAGGATATCTGATTTTGACCGGACCCCGGTCGGGTAAGCACCTAACCCGGTCGGGTACCCGGCCCAAGGTGTTGAAAAACACCTATAAATAACCCCATTTTCCTTCACAAAGAATCACTCCTTCTTCCATACTCTTAAGCTCAGTTTAGAATAGTATTTCTTTTATATTTTTATAGCATGTTTAGTCTCCAAATGAGGAGCTGAACTTCCATTTCTTGGTGTTGCTCTTGAAGCTTGTTGATTATTAAAGTTGTGAGTTATTTTCTTAACTTCTTCCCTTGAATATTAATTATTCTCTTAATCTATCTATATATTAATGTTGGGGAGTGTTGCTAAGATGACAATTAGTTAACATCTCGACATTAGTTATAGTAGTATTTATTTTCTTCCTCTATATATTAATGTTGGGGAGTGTTACTAAGATGACAATTAGATAACATCTTGACATTAGTTATAGTAGGATTATTCATATTTAATTTTCTTCCTTGAATATTAATTCTTCCCTTGATCTATCTCTATGTTAATGTTGGGGAGTGTTGCTAAGATGACAATTAGTTAACATCTCAACATTAATTACTACTAGAAACGTTCAACGAACCGATGGTTAATCGTTGATGGTTTCACAAGTAAGTAACTTCGGTTTATTAATGCACGGTCGTGGTTAGTAAACTTAAGAGGGATTAATTTTGTTGGTTAAACCGAAACCGTTGTGTTGAGGTTATCAATCTCAATTGATTTCATCAAGGAGTTAAGAGATTAAATGCTACTATCAAGTCGGTATATGGCGGTGTTCTATACTTGACTAATAGTAAGGGTTATTAATGAACGGTCGTTGTTAATAACTACCCTCGATGAATTGGATATACCCCTCGATTGAGTATTCGAGAGGGGATAAGTTATAGATATAACAATGATCGACTAAAATATATCAACAAGTGGAAAGTAGCAATGCCAAGTCCTTTTTATCTTTGAATTAAATCTCACATAAGTCTTTCATCTTAGTATTTAATTAATTAAATTCCAACAAACCCAAAACCCCCCTTTATTTACTCCTTTCATTAAAAAGATTAATTATTCCTTTCCCTGAGGATACGAACTCTACTACGCTATACTACGTATAAGTGTTAGTATTGAATTTATTTTGAGTGCACTCACGACAAAGTGCACGTCAAATTTGGCGCCGTTGCCGGGGACAGGCAATTAATTTTTCTTTTTATTTTATTTTATTTTAAGAAAAAGAAAAAAAAATATGGTTCAAGTATAAAGATTTCTATTTCTTCTGAGCTTTGTAGTATATGGTTAAATATCGTTCACTGAACGAAATTACCTACAAATCAAACCACGAAATAGAACAAACTCTCGAGCGGTTGAAGAATAAATTCTCAAGCTCCGACTCGGGAGAATCATCAAGTGCTAGTTCTCAATCTAGCGAGACTGAAGAGCCAATTACTATGGCTCATGAAACGAGAACATTAAGGGAGCTCACGGCTCCGAATCTAGATCAACAACCCCTATGTATCACTTTTCCAACTCTTGATACGGGGGTCACATTTGAGCTAAAATCTGGGCTCATTCATCTTCTTCCATCATTCCATGGTTTACGAGGGGAGGATCCGAACAAACACTTGTCGGAGTTCCATATCGTGTGCACAAGCATGTGCCCCAATGGTGTGTCCGAGGAGCAAATCAAACTGAGGGCCTTTCCATTTTCTCTGAAGGATACCGCAAAGGACTGGCTATTCTATCTTCCTTCGGGAAGTATCACTACATGGCCACAAATGAAGAAGGCTTTTCTTGACAGGTACTACCCCGCTTCTATTTCATCATCACTCAAGAAGCAAATAAGCAACATTGAACAAAAAGATGATGAATCTCTATACGAATATTGGGAGAGATTCAAGAAGCTATGTGCGAGTTGCCCCTATCACGGATACACCGAACAAGACCTCATTCTCTACTTTTATGATGGTCTTGTGGATCAAGATCGCCGCATGGTGAATGCAGCGTGTGGAGGAGGCATTGTCAACAAAACTCCTTCACAAGCGAGAGATCTCATCTCGGAGTTGGCCGAGAACTCTAGACACTATAACGGGCGGTCCTCAACCCGTAGAGTTATGGCGGCAGAGTCCAACAACTCGTTGGAAAGTC